GAAAGAGGCCGAAATGGCTGCGGAGCAGGCCCCGGGCAGGAGTCGCTCGGGCGCAGGGAGGAAGTGACCCGGCCGGAGGTAGCGCCTGGCTGCTGGCCCCACAGTCCTGACACCTCCGGAGCTCCTAACTCCTTTCCTTGTCCGGCTGAAAGGTCACCAGCCCCAGTCCCCAGCTGTGCCGCTTGCTGGGCGCAGAGCCTCTGGTAACTGCCCCCTGATACACACAGTGCCCGGGGATAGAGCCCGTGTGCGTGGACCTGGGTGACTGGGAGGCCACCGAGCGGGCGCTGGACAGCGTGGGCCCCGTGGACCTGCTGGTGAACAACGCCGCTGTCGCCCTGCTGCAGCCCTTCCTGGAGGTCACCAAGGATGCCTTTGACAGGTGAGCGTGTGAGGGCGGAGAAACCTCAGGGAGGGGCTGCCCGGAGGAGGCAGCAGCCCTAATCTCTGACCAGGGTCTGTCCTTCGGCCTCTAGATCCTTTGAAGTGAACCTGCGTGCGGTCATCCAGGTGTCACAGGTGAGCTGCCCTGCGGGCTGGACGGGAATTCTGATGAGTGGTGCCAGCTCTGCCTCATGGTCTCGCTGCAATTTCAGATCGTGGCCAGGGGCTTAATAGCCCGGGGAGCCCCGGGGGCCATCGTGAATATCTCCAGCCAGTGCTCCCAGCGGGCAGTAACTAACCATAGCGTCTACTGTGAGTACCCCAGCTGTGCCCTCAGCCCCACCCCCACCCCAGCCTCACCCGCATCACCAACCCCAACCACAGCCAGCTTGGGTTCCTCTTCACAGGCTCCACCAAGGGTGCCCTGGACATGCTGACCAAGGTGATGGCCCTAGAGCTCGGGCCCCACAAGGTGAGCAGGGCTGGGGTACCTCCCCCAACCTAGGGCACCTCACTTGCCCTGCTGACCCCAGCTGTCCCGGTGTAGATCCGAGTGAATGCAGTAAACCCCACAGTGGTGATGACGCCCATGGGCCAGGCCGCCTGGAGTGACCCCTGCAAGGCCAAGACTATGCTGGACCGAATCCCACTTGGCAAGTTTGCTGGTGAGTCAGGTGGGAGATCAGCCAGCGTGGTGCCAGCAGCCCCTGTGCGTGCCCTGGGCAGGGGTGGGAGGGAAACATGGGCAACAGCCTCCTTCATCTATGCCCCTGACCCCCGCCCTGCCCACAGAGGTAGAGCATGTGGTGGATGCCATCCTCTTTCTGCTGAGTGACCGAAGCGGCATGACCACGGGCTCCACTCTGCCGGTGGAAGGGGGCTTCTGGGCCAACTGAGCTCCCTCCACACACCTCAAACCCCATGCCGTGCCCATCCTACCCCCAATCCCTCCAATAAACCTGATTCTGCTGCCCAGGCTATGTGCTATTCCTAGGCTGCCAGCAGGTAGCTGGGGGCTTGGGGCCTGGTATGGAATGCAGGCAGAGACCCATGAGATTCATATTCCAATCCAAGGCGGAGCCTGGCTCCCTCTCCTGAGGTCTTCAGGCTTGGCCAGTTTGCTGTCAGGGAGGTAGGAGGTGGTGAAAGGCCAGCTCCTAAAGAGGGTGGTGAATTTCAGCAAGGTTGGCCTTTGGACCTGTCCAGAACCTCTGGGGTGAGACAGTGTGTGCTTGTTGATCACCCACTCTGTGAGTATACGGTTGGCTCCTCTTCCTTTAAGCTAATGAGTAAGACAAAGGGGAAACAAGGAGGATGTCAAGCTTCTCCACTTCGTCAGCGACCTGAGCCACTTTGTTGAATCAGATGGTTTTTGGATACTAGAAGAGCATTTCCTCAACTTGACTGTTCACAAGGTAATGAGCAGACACAGCACCCTGAAGTCTAATCTACATTTTAATCATCTTAAGTCTAGACAAATAACTGTAAATCAAGTCCCAATGTGAAGAATTGGCCAATTCCCATGGTGTAAATACTCCCACCACAGCTGATTTCAAGCTACCAGTTAGATGTCATTGAATGGGGAGCTGGAAGAGATGCCCTCAGCACCCCGTTATGTGGTGTCTGTGTCCATAGGTGCCGCAGATGTACATAACCCGGGGCAGAGAAAACAGTCCTGTGTGCAGAAATAACTAGGAAGTGATGTTTGTTGATTTTGCTTTTAATAACACAAATTGTAAACTTCTATAATTTAATTGTTAATGATCATTAACAACTGGCTAGCAAAATTCTTGAGAATTCCGCAGTCGGCTTTCCTGAGCCAGTAGGAGCTGCCCCCACACAGCACCAGGCAGAAGCAGACGGTGGCCCTCAGGGCACCCTCCAATCCCGAGTGACTCCACGCCCGGGACCATGGTTCGGGGCCCACCGTTTCTGGCTTCAGCGTCAGCAGACTGTGCTGGGTCGCTGGTCTCTTCGCTTTCCACACCACACCCCGACCCCCATGCCCTCCTCCACCCTGCCCCTCCGCCTGGATTGCCCTTACTCCCAGTGCCAGCCAGAGGAGCCGAGGGATGGGGGGAGGCTGCCTTGGCTCCCATGGGGCTCCGAGAGGCCTGACCTGCTTCAGCCTCTTTTCAGACTGTCCCAGTCAGCACAACAGGAGCTGCCTGAGAACCAGGCCGGCCTCTCCCCGACGTGTGCCCTCCCAGAGGCGCACATCAGCCTGAGGGAGCCTTGTACACAGCCAAGCAAACATCCCAAGGGCTCAATGCACTAGCTATTGCTTTGATCTGGGTCGGCTGCTTTGGGGGCTCAGCAGCTCAGGCCCCTCTTCCCTGGGGTGGGGTGGAGGAAGCTTAGTGCTGCCCTCTGGGAACTCGGCTCCGAGGTGAGGTGCGGCTGGGGTGACAACCTGCTCTGCACCATCACTTGGGGGAATTAGGAGCAAACCGCCCCAGGGCAGAAGGGCAGGTAGTGAGAGGCAAGAGGAGTAGGTGGAGAATGTTTATTGTATAAAATAAGAAGGGGCCGCCCCGCCTCGGGGCGCAATGGACAGAACTCCCCCCCACCCTCCCCCTCCAGGGAAGCCCATCCTGGGGCTTCCCTGCACCTGCCCCTGCAGCCCTGAGGGAGACCCTGCTCCCTCCTGGCCTCCGGCGGGGGCCAGGGAAGGCTGGAGCCACACCCCAGAATGAGGCAGCAGAGAGGACAGGATCCTGCCGCCCAGCCTCATCCCCATGCTTCCCCCCTGCCCACCCTCACTGCTCCCCACAGCCAACTCAGGGACACCACACGTCTCAACACAACAGCGGACACGTCTAGGGCTGCTCCCCGCCAGCCCTCAGGCTCAGGGGTGCCAGGGCTCTAGAAGACCGTGCACTTCTTCCCTGGCTTCTTCACTGGCGGCGGGCAGAGCACTGCGCGGATTGCCTCGTCAAACACTGTCTTCAGGCCCCGCTGGGTCAGGGCTGAGCACTCCAAGTACTTCACAGAGCCTAGGCAGTGAGGAGGGGAGACAATGAGGGTGGGGTACAGCGAAGCCTCCCCACCCCTCCCCTGCAGGCCGCCTGCGCCTACCCACCAATCTCCCGGGCCATGGCCAGGCCCTGTGGGTAGGTGATGGGCGCCAGCTTCTTGTCCCGCAGCCGCTCAATGGTGTCCTTGTCGTCGCGGAGGTCCAGCTTGGTGCCCACCAGGAGGATGGGCGTGTGGGGGCAGTGGTGCCGCACCTCCGGGTACCACTGCAGGGACAGACGCTCTGACCCAGGCCCGGAGTCTGCTACCCCAGCCCCACCTGAGCAAGTCACGGCCCTCCGGGACTTTCCCCACTGCTCCAGAGCTACACTTGGCTCTTCTTCCTTCAAGGGGTGACCAGGGGCGGATTTGGTGGGGAGATATTGAGAAAAAACATGCAGCCAGGGAACCTGGAGACCTCCCAGGGCCTCCCAGTCAAGGCCCATCCTCAGCAGACAGAGAGCTCCTCCGTTCTGAGAGCTGTGCCCACCACCGCTACGCCACCCCATCAGCCCCCACGGTCATTTTCAGACCCCACCCCATGTGCCTACTCCAGGCAGAACCGTATCTCAATCGCCTCTAAAGGACAACTTCTCGGGGCAGGTTCTGGCGCAAGCCCTCTCCCCACAGGGGCCCCCAGCCTTGCCCTACCTTGGCACGAACGTTCTCGAAGGAGGCCGGGCTCACCAGGGAGAAGCAGATCAAAAAGACGTCCTTGGGAAGAAGGTGGGGCCTGGTGGAGTGGTCAAGGGCTCCCCAGGGCCCTGCTCCCTCCCTCATCACAACCTCAGGGACCCACCCAGCTCCCGGGGCTGGCCCCGTTGTCACCTACAGTTTGGGGGTAGGAGAGTGGCCGCAGCCGATCATAGTCCTCCTGCCCCGCTGTGTCCCACAGCCCCAGGTTGACCGGCTTCCCGTCCACCATCACGTTGGCCGAGTAGTTGTCAAAACTGCAGAGTAGTGAAGGCAGGGTCAGGGCTTCGGAGGGGTCCCAGAAACCCCTGGCCCTGCCGGCCTGTGTCTTGGGTTTCACAACTCTGCACGGAACTAGAACTCTAGCCAGCACCTCAGCCCCAGCCGGGAAGCCCAGAGACAGGGCCACCTGAGCCAACATGGAAGCCCAGGGGAGATCCTGCCCATGAATCCCCCATGCCACACTCACACGGAGGGCCTGTGCTCTCCGGGGAAGCCCCCACACTCACACGGTGGGGATGTACTCTCCGGGGAAGGCGTTGGTCGTGTAGCTGATCAGCAAGCATGTCTTCCCCACGGCGCTGCGGACAGGGCAAGCCACGTGGCTCCCAGGCCCGGCCTCGGACCCTCTGCCCAGCAAGGGCAACCCCCTCCCCAGGAGCCAGAGGCGAGTTAGGGGCGTCTGGGGTGGAGACGGGGGTCCCAGCCCACCAGATCCGCGGCGACCTAGGGCTGGAGGACGACCAGGGCAGGCCGGGCTCCGGGGGCTGGGG